GATGAGACGGGTGAAGTGTCTGCACATTTCATTTCGATACAGATGACCAAACTGCCTCCCAGAAAACCTGTGCCAGTGCATCCTCCCATAACTAACCCCAACTGCTGCCAACCCCAGATTTTTCCATTTGCGCTGAGCAAGAAGCCAATGGTGAAAACCCACTATCTGATTTGACACTGACGTTTCTTTGCTCACCAGTAGGGCTGACCGTATTTCTAGATGCTAACTGCTTCTTCTGCAAACTGCTCACGTTTCCGACCTGTTTCTTAGAGTGAACTTTGACATTTTTCTTTTCAATTGAAGTATAGTTGATTTACAATGTTGTGTTAAACCCTGACTTTTAAAAATTAATTTATGAGAGCGCTTTTTTATTTTAGAAATATTACGTTAATCTTGTCAGGCAGCCATGCTAACAATACTTTTCCCTAACAGTTTTTTCTTTTTTTTTGTCCTTGTTTTGGGGACATTTTTTCAAGATCTTAAGCTTCTTTTCATAGTTCCACATAATGCTTAGCAAGATACTCACCAACCCAAGAGTATGAACAGATATTTTCTTCTAGTGTTTTTATGACTTGAATATTTACACTGAAATGTTTGATCTTTACTAGAATGTGTTTAGGTATAAGCAAGTGAGATCTAGCTTTGTTTTCTTCCAACTGGCCAACCAGCTGGCCCAGCACTTTTTACTGCATAATCCACTTCCTCCCAACTAATTTGAAGTGCTTCGTTTATCACATGTGAAACTCCCCTGTGTACCTGGTTTCTGGACTCCACAGACTTTTCCATTACCTGTTTGCTTACCACTGCACCAGAACCACACTGTCACTGTAGCTTTATAAAGTGTTTTCATGCCTAAAGGAGCACGAACAAAGGATAACAAAGAGCACTGCTCGCCACCCAGTTCTATAAGGATTAAGTGGGGACCGAGTGCAGTCGCCCACCGAGTAGCACCCTGAAAGGAACTCAGGATGAAAAGCAGGACGGAGCCCTCTGTGCTCTGGATAAACAGGCCCTAGACAGATGTGCGCCTCAGGAAGAACTTCGGTGACCCCAGATTCTTGCCTCTCCCCATACACAGAAAAGCACTAAAACCACTAGCTCCAGACATCTAGTCTCTGTGATTAGCGATAGTCGTTTACCAAGATGTACGCCTGACTGCACGAATTTCCTAGCCAAAAAAAATCATAATAAACTGGCTCCTCCCCTACCTCTCTGGGGCAGCTTCCTCACAGCTGAGTGGCTGTCTCCTGGGCTTTAATCCTCAGTAAGACCCTGAGTAGAACTGAAACTCACAACTCACGTTGTGTGTCTTTAAGTTGACAGGAGCAAGTTCCTACCTATTATTCTCTGTTAGAAAGCTCCCGGCTTTCTCATTGATTTACCCGTTCAAACTGTTGACTTTCTTAAATCCCCACTCTGCCAGGGGGGAAAAAATCTGATTAAGATTCTGAGATTGCATTGAATTTACAGTTTAATGTTGGAAAACTTAAACATCCAAGAATAAAATATGGCTTTCCACAAACTAGTGGGGCGAGGGAAGGGGGAGAGGAGTAAGAGGCACAGACCGTTAGGTATAAAGTAGGCTACAAGGATATATTGCACAACACGGGGAATATAGCCAACATTTTATAATAATTACAAATAGAGTATAGCCTAAAGTATAACCTAAATTTAAAAAAAAATTGTGAAGCCTTGCACTGTACATCTGTAACATATAATACTGTATATCAACTATACTTCAATTAAGAAAAATAATAAAAATTAAAAAATATAGCTCTCCATTTATGCAATTCTTTTATGTCTCTCAGAATTTGTTTTTTCTCCTAATCAATTTTACACATTGCTTGTTAATTAATTCTGGACACTTAATATTTATTGCTTCTATTATAAATGAGTCTTATTTCCCATCATGTTTTCTAATTGGCTATAGTTGGTATATAAACATAGCATTGATTTCTTTCAATCTTACCAATATTCTTGATTTCATTTCCTGATTATCTGTAAAGAAATAAAAACAGATTACAATTTAACTGAATCTTACTAAACATACTACATACAAGATTTTCTACCAATTTTTAAACAGTCCCTCCGAGTTACAGTAGGAAAACAAGTATCACAGTCTCATAGAAGAGCACAGGCTCCTACCTTTAACCTCCTTGTTCATTCTATGAATGTCTTATTTTCTTAGCATTAAGGAATTAAAAATTTTATTTTATAAATACTCATAGCAAACAGAAAAATAACCTCAAATCTTAGTTAAGTAAGTCGAGCATCCACCTGTCGGGAGAAAGGGAACGCTCCCTTGCCCACGACACACACACAACGGGAGTGACCGGGAGCTTCCAGTTACCACCTCTGCAGTCCAGCGGGCTTTGTAACTTGACCAAAACATGATCTTTGTCCCAGAAAATTTAAAGTATCAAAGGTTTGACTGTTCTGTGATTACCCACCAGGCCCTAGATGTGAATACCGGGACCACAGGTAAATCAACAAGCCAATCCAATGAGACAATGAACCTGAAAACCACACACAGAGGATGAGACAACCCCAACCAAAGTCTGGGAGAGAAGCATCGCTCAATTCTGCACAAAACAAACGCAGCAAATTACACAAGACTGAGAAAACACCCCACAAACAGAGGTGATCAAAATGCGTACGAAGGTGGGCAGAGTAACCCAGCCACCTGGAGAAGCAGCCACTCAGCTAATAAGCCCCAGAGTCAATAAACTGCTTTTAAAAGCAAAACACTGCTTCCAACATAAGAGAGACGAAAATAATTTTTTTTAATTTGTCTAGATAAGAAACAAAGAAGCATCCTGAAGAGTAACTCGTCGTGAGCAAGACATACTGGAGAATCTAGACTTTTCTTTCTTCCCATTTCAAGTTTTCACAGCTTGTCTTAAAAACATTTCAAAGCCAAGCCAAACTATTGTTTGATTATCTACCACTTTAGAATACTCACACCTTCCATTAACATAGGCAGCCAAGGTTCTAAGAAATATCACAAGTGAAAAATCTTTATTACAAAAATACACCCTCTGAATGATTAAAACACCAAGGATACAGCAAAGAGCTTTGGCGAGGGATCCTGCCAACAGAGTTTCTGTATGTTGACCCTTTATGTCACCTGTAAATAACAAAAAAAAAACATAAAAAGGAAATTTTAGGTATTTTCTTCAATTAAAATCATTTTCAAGCCAAAGCATTCTTCTTCATGAATGAAACCAGATATTTTCAAACTGGGTTTAAGAAACATAGATAAGTAATTTTAAAGCATTTCCTCAATTTAAAATATCCTGGTGGTCAGGGGCTGAAGGGGGGAAATGAGTTGTTTAATGTAAAGCTTCCATTTGGGAGATGAAACAGCTCTGGAATGGACAGGGGTGATATCTGCACAACAATGGGAACGTACTTAATGCCACTGAACTGTACGCTTAGAAATAGTTAAAATGGTGAGTTTTACATTATGTGTATTTTACCACAGCAAAAAACAAGTAATAAAAAACATCCTGGTGTTATTTGGAACGGTTCTGGCTTCTCAATGATCTGAGTGGTACACAAGGTCATGGGTAACTGTAAGCAGCTGGACAGTGGCCCCTGGCCAGCTTCTGAGCCCTTCCCCCTGCTTCCTCCTCCCCGTCAGCCCCCGCAAAAGCAGGACCCGTGAGAAGAGGACTGGAGAAACTGCCCAGGCTGTGGCAAGCAGGGACGAAGTTTATAACTTGTTCGGAGACTTGGGTGCAAAAGAGTCACTCTTATAAAAATCAAAATTCTAAACCTTCAGCTCAAGAAGGTGGGGAGCCCAGGCTGACACCCCGTGTGAGCAGGGCCTGCAACTGGTCCAGGAGCACTGACACCCCACGGGGAGGTCAGACCAGGAGCAGT